CGAAATCTCTAAAAAAATTCAATTTTATATTATTTATTATAGGTGAACTTTACATTGAAATGATTGAATATAAAATTTTAGGGCAATATTTGCCTTTGACCCAGAATTAAAATAATTAAATTTCCAACTTTCGTTGCTCAGAACTCAGAAGTCAGGTCCCTCCACACCAAGTGTCTGGTCCGCACTACTCACTATTTGATTGGGGGTAGTGCAGACCGAGACCAGGAGCCCTTCTCCAGGACAGATGAATACCGCTGATCCCAGAATGGCACCATAAGTACCTCAGCAACATTATGCTTCCATTTGCCCAGACTTGCCGGCAAACTAGGTCATTTCATGGGTCAATACTTAGGTGCGCATTTTTACTGCAGTGTGCAGTCATGTATTAAATGCCATTTGCCTTTTGTGGTGCACAATGACCAGAGATAACAACCCATACCAGACAACATGCACCAAAAGAAGATCACGGTTTTTCTGTCAGAATCTTGCAAAACTTACAAGAGTGGTGCACAACCTTCCTGTGCGGCTGTGTCCCACAGACACAGTCATGTCTGTAACTACTAACTAATATTATTCAAGTTTGAATGAGTCACACCATATGATCATGGGAATACAAGCTATTTCAAGAGCCGTAGTCAAAGCGTTCCAAAATAAATTAGGCAGTGGTAGTGAGTTGAAGGTGGAGAAGGGTTAAATTTGTGGTCAATTGCTCCACTCACACACGCAGCTTCCGCTGACAACTGATCCCAACCATGTGCATGCAAGTACAGAAATTGTAGTGGATCAAATCAGGCTCATTTACTTGGTATAGCATATCAGTACCAAAGTTGATAAGGCAGGTGTTGCCAATCACTGATTCCTACAATGTTCATAATTAGCTTGGAAGAGTTCTTAAAACCGATCATGGGATCATATCTATCCAAGATGACCATGGTGCTATAAAGCTTCTTGCTATAACCTAAATAAAATATTTCTGACGAACTTTGTTCTAAACATATTTACAATTATTGTAAAAATCAATCTAATTGGTTAATAATTGAAGCTTTGATGACCCTGTTGGCAAGTAACAAGTGTAAAGTCAGAAACTTGTCAGACATGCGTTCCAAAAGGCATGTTCTAAAGCCATTTTAACATGAGTTCTACCAAGCCTTTCAACACTTGATCTACCAGGCATTGCAACATTTGATTTACCAGGCATTGCAACATTTGTTCTACCAGGCATTTCACACAGGCATTGCTCACATTTCACCAGGCATTGCTCACATGTCAACTGGAATGGTTTCTGCATTCAAGAATTGCCTTTGACAAGTAACAGGCAAAAGATTGCACCATATATTCATCATTATTACTCCCACCTGTCATCGCTGAAAATTTTTTTGCAAGTAATTGTGATGTTAATACATATACCATTTATTATATGTAATGAAATCAAATCCTACATATTTATTACATGACATTTAACAAAAAAATACCTTTGCTACTTCTTGTTGCAACTTCTGGCCTGATATACCTTGCTGACCTGCCACTCTCCTCAGGACTTCTGGCCCAACTCCTTGCTGTCCTGCCACACATCAGGACTCCAATCACTCTTGCTGGGACTTATGGCCTACTACACCTGGCTGTCTGGCCATTCTCGTCGGGATTTGTAGCCTTAACACCTTGCTGTCCAGCCAATCTTGTCAGGACTTATAGCCTTAACACCTCACTGTCCTGCCACTCTTGTTAGGACGTCTGGCCTACAACACCTAGCACCTTGCAACGAGGGTCCTGTATTAGCAAAACGCCTTCGTAAAAGCAAGCTCTTGTGCTCTATGTGCAATGCCTGGATCCACAAGCGGTGCTCTGGCCTTTGCTCCATTTACCTCAACTCCGCAGACTGGATCTGCCCTATGTGCAGACGGTCTGACCCCATCCCAGTTAGACCCCCTCCCTCTCACCCCACCCCCCCCGGGGCGAACAAAGAACAAAAATGGCCAAAAAAGGCTGATAACTCAATATATACTAGTTTATTTGTAGGTTCTGCTATGCAAATTCCATTTATTTTCTTTTCGCAGTATTTAAAATTTAATTAGGAAGTACCCCTATCATAAATTTTAGCTGGCCAATGCAATTGAGAAAAACTAAATCATGGAATTTGTCCGGAACAAATGACCGACTGGCAACCCCATTTAAAAACAGTACAAAAAATGAAATAATAGTACAAGATGAAGCAATTGTAGTCAACGTGTTAATGGCTCACCTCTCTGTATAATCAATGTATACATCCCACCAGCCTCCACCTGCCCCCTGGGATACTTCCCAGAGCTCGCAGATATCTTTCTTTATCCCGGGAGACTGCCTGATAGTGGGCAATTTTAACGCCCATCATCCCTCTTGGTTCTCCCACACGGAAGACCAGAGAGCCGCAGCGCGAGGAACAGCAGTCGACGACCTCGTCACTGGTTCCTTCCTCGCCTACCTCAATGAGGACTCCCATACCAGACTCCCCTCCCATGGCCCGCCCTCCTCTCCAGACCTCGCCATCATCAGTGGTCACCTAATCCTCAGCACTTCCTGGACTCCTCAAGTCCCCCTCAACTCGGACCACCCGCCCATTCTGATCCATCTCCCTTCCTCTGCTGATTCCCCGACCCCCCGGGCCGCCCGCTCCTATGTCAACTTTAAAAAATCTGACTGGCCCGCCTACACGGCAGCCATCGAAGCGGCGCTCGAGACGGTCCCTCCTCCCACCTCGTGTGTGGCGGAGAGTCGACCTTAAAGGAAGTCCTGACGACCGCTGCCAGACAGCCATCCCTGCCGCATTCAGAAAGAACTTCACCCCATCAGTCAACCCTAGCACCCAGTTGCTCATAGAGCAACAGGATGACATTAGGGTGAGCAAACCAACCGACCCCCGGCTCCCAGAACTCAACCTGGAAATCAGCATCTCCATACAGGCCCATGCAAGGAACACCTGGCAAACACACCTTGCGTCTTGCAGCAGGCGTACCAACCAATCCAAACATTGGAATCTCCTCCGCTCCCTAGCCGGAAAGTGGAACCGCCCTCCCCCCAATCAGCCAACACAATTTGGTCGGAATTCCCTCTCCTCCCAGCACAAAATTTCCTCTGCCTTCTGCAAGCATTTCACTTCGGTCGCTCCTCACTCTCAGAGCCCCTCCACCCGCCGCCTCATACATCGAATCCGAGCCCAACATCCCCTCGACAGGGACTTCTCCTCTTTCACTCCCGACATGGNTTTCAACTACTCTTAACTTAACAACATGATTCCCTCACTGATGTATGGGGCATTCATGAGTGGATTATGAAAGACAACTGGTCCTACTAAGTCGCACAAGTCATTAAATATACTCCTAGTCACACTAGCATCCTAATCAGTAAATATACTCCTAGAAACAACTAGAAAATTGGACTAAGTCACATATGTCTGGATATAAAGTATCTAAGAAAAGCGCAAGGCTCATCAACTTCAAGTTGTATCCAAATTAAATTTTGGTTCATAGGTGGAATGTCTTATCTTCTTTCTTGATGGCCAGGAGTTGGTCGAGCGATCTTAGGTTCTCATCAAGAAGACTGTAGCTCCACACCAAGCGCTCCTAAACGTCAAATAAATGCATTCATAAGAACTAGCCTTCTAGAAATATCGACATCAGGAGGATGTTTAAACTGTTTTGTCACACACAAAGTCATCAATGCATTAGTTTCAGAAGTAAAGTTATTCAAGGGTCGACACAACATGGTTCAAGTAAGCAAAATGAAAATTGTGCAATAAAAGGACAGGATTAACATGAGAACCAGTGAAAACCATCCTTCATTCTTTATAAACAGGCATGAATAACTGGAAAACATTTGTTGTTAAGAACTCAATAATGACAAATAGTAGCATGGCGACATTTTAATGAGATGAAATGCACTGTACTCACCAAAATGGAGCATCAGGATGGGATTAGCAAGCAGAGGTGTAGATCGAATCATGCATTAAGGCGTCTTAAGCAGGCTTTTGAAGGTCAGAAAATAATCAGGTGCAACCAGTGAATTTCCAATTCAGCAATCAGGGGAGCAGACTAATCAAAAGTGCGTAACATATTGACTTGCAAGAATCTCGTCTCAATAACTTTTACTCTGCTTAAATATTACACCAAGGGAAACAAGATACAAGATTAATAACTTGCACATGACACACGAAAGATAATAAAATTAAACATGACCTACATTATGGTACAATTGTGAATGAATGATTCTACTGTATACTATAGCTAATGTTCTGCGGCCCTCTTCAACGGATTCTAACTCCCGGCGCCCTCCAGCCCGCACAATCGCCGCTGCAGTTGACCTCTCAAAGGCCTTCGACAGTGTCGACCACCCTCTCCTTCTGAGCATGATTGCGGCCTCGGACCTACATCATAACCTGGTCCGTTGGCTGTGCTGCTACCTTAGAGGCAGGCAGGCATCCTGCCTCTACCTCAGAACGCAGTCGCCTTTCGGAGCCATCCACTCGGGCGTTCCCCAGGGCTCGGTCATCTCGCCGGCCCTCTTTAACCACTTCATCTCCGACATCCCAGTTCCGACCCCCAACATTGCCTCATATGCGGATGATCTTACCATCTTCGTGTCGTCCCAGAGGCTCGACGCTGCTGAGGCTGAGCTCGCTGTGCTCCTGCGGAACGTCTCGGATTGGTCGGCTGCCAAGAAACTGGGCGTGGCTCCTGGCAAATCCTCGGTCACGCTCTTCACCCCAGACAACCACCAATCTCGATCCCACCCTGCTGACGCCATAAACGCCGTACTCGCAGCCTCGCCACCGCCGATTGTATCAGTGGAGGCCTCACTCCCTCGCCCCTACCGCTCGGCGCTATCCTAGCTCCGCTCGGGATACTGCAGCTCCCTGGCGTCCGATTCCGCCAGGATCGGACACTTCCCTAGCTCCGCCTGCCCGGAGTGCGACGAACCCCTCCAGTCCGTCCAACACCTCTTCGCCTGCCCCGCCTTCCTCACGTCTCTCAGCGTCTCCTTACTGTGGGACAGCCCAGTGGAGGCAGCGGCTTTCCTGGCCACCCTCCCTGCCTTCGCCCATTTCCCCCCTCTTCCAGTGCCTGCCCCCCGCCCACCACCAGAGCCTCCCCTCCGCCGAGGTGACGGTCGCAACGAACAACAACAACAATAATGACCGATAAGTGGCCCCCATAGCCATACTTGACTAATAAACTGAGTTGTTATATTTAAGGTGTCAAATAAACTGAGCTCTATTTAACATTCATCATCACATCAGTTATTGGAACTTAATCAAGTAAGCATCAAGGTTTTTTCAAATGACATTTACTGGTTATTTAAAAATAGACAAATGCAAGTAACTGACTAAAACAAATCAATGTGTTTAATAGTGATGAAAACACTTATTCTTGATTAGGAGTTGATCTGATACATAAGTTTGCATAATGGTCTTCACTTCAACTACAACCATCCTAAACCACCAATTAGGTTAGTCTTCTGCATTTTTAATAATTAACGTAAAGATCAATTACACCAGGAGGGAACAGCAGGCACACATAGAGAACCAAGACCAGGGCAAACACCAACATATGGAGTCAAGCTTCAAATTTTAATTACTTGTTCCTTCAATAATTGGCCTGCACCCTGTCTAGAAAAGTCAAACATTAAGAAATTTGGCAGCCATAAGGAGTTCACCACATCAGTAACCTCTTTATACTGGACATAGATAAGAAACCAAATCAAATAGTACACATTTACTCAAACAACTTGCACTTCAGGAACTGGGGGTTTGCAAATACCCCTTAGCAGGAAACTCCTGCTACCTTGCAGCATGAATGAAAATGGGTCTCCCCAGAACACAACACAAATATTCTTATATCCAAATATCAAGATTCTATAATTTTTACTAATTTCCTGCATTCCAATGGATGGGAAAGAAAAGACAATATAGTCTACTTCTTATACTTCTAATCTTCATTATTCTATTCTCTGTACATATAGAAATGCATTACATGGCAGAACACACATTAGTCATAAAATAATTGAGTCTACAAATGGTTGGTGAAAATGTGCAGGTAAGGCATAATTTGAACTCTGGTTTCTAATCAGGTCAAATGACGTCACATTGACAGAAAAATATGCTACCTAAGTATAGCACGACCTTCAGTTAAAATATGTCAGTCAAGGTCATACTGTGCAAAGTAAAAGAAGTAACAGGCAAAGGAATGACAGGTGATTCATGGGAAATTATATACAATGCCAGGAACACAAAGCTGGAAAATAAACAACCACAGATAGGGAACTGAAACGATGTTTCTGTTGAATGCATAGCATTAATGTGCCGCTGTAGTCCAATTCCTGAACTAGAGGTGTATTTAGAGCAGCGGTGGGGTCCTGAAGCAGGATGTTCTAGATGAACGTGCTGCTGCAGTTGGCCTGCACCTGCAGGAACCACTCCATGCTGAGAACACCCAAGCCTGTTGTGTTGCTTGGAGGTGGATGCTCCAGATATGTCAGCAACAGCAGCAGCGTCCCCTGCAGCAGGTGCTGATCCACCTTCGCCAAACTAATGATAAAAATACTGAGTAAAACAATATCAAATTTAATATCAACTGCAGTAAACTGTTGACTTCCAAGTTTCATTTTCATTTAAATAATCTAGTTGTCCCATATCCCTTAAAATCCTCTAACAGAAAACGGAAATTGTGACAAATATTTTAATAATTTGGGAGCAGTTTTTACCCAGTCTGTTCTGGTTCATGCAAGGATTGTTCAGCAGAAATAGTTGGTTTGAAAAAATAAGCAATGCAATTACCTGGTCTCCAATAGGAGTATTATTTTATCAATGTTTTGTGACATTTTGGCAGCAACTCAATAGCCCAATTTTCATCAAAACGTGGAAATTTCAACCAATAAATCAACAGTTACCCTCATAACACCACACATGGCCCAGAACTGCTGCCACCCTCAAGTCAAAGTCATTGACCAACTTCTTATGCTTGAACACAACCCGAAAATCCTTGATGCTCATTTCGACATCTAGCCACATAACCACAGCAGCATAAGCGTGAAAATGCAATAACATACTAAAAACCTCTCATGAACATTTGTTAATGCTGAGGATACTTTACTACAAACAATAAAATAAAAACATGTTGTCCAATAATTGAATATGATAGCCCACAGTACCCCTATCACTTCTTCAAAACTCACTCGCCTCCAAATAGTTTAAAAAGGGGCCTTGCATACAATAAGCGATTGCTCTATGCAACAGCCAAAAATCATCCATACTTTGAAAGTGAAATTCTCTCCATCCAACAACACACCAATCTCCTACAGCAATGTCTCCATCCACAATACCCCTGCCACCAAAACACAAGACCAAACCACCAAGCTTGCAACATGTAAGACACTTGGCATACCAAAATACATCAACATCATTTAACCAATACTACCAATCATCACCAGCCCTACCCTTTAAATAGCCAGTAGCAGCCTCCATACTAACGCCGCCCGAGCAGTCATTGACTCACAACAAACGCAAGCAATCTATCTTCTGTTGGCCCCAAAAAGGATATACTACATGATTCCTCATAGAATTCTCTGCAAGTTTATAATTTCTGAACAGCACATGAATATGTTTGCACAATTACTAGCTTTAAAATATCTTTCATGTCAATCTTGCTTAATGTCAAAAATCATGCTTGCTGGTATTCATATTAACATATATATATAAACTCAAGCTCCAGCCTCCTTCAAGATGTTACAAGACTTTTTCACTGCACCGCGCAATTCCAAACAAAATGCCAATCATGCTGCATCCAGGCGTTGTTTTGAACCACGACAATGCCTATCCACACACAGAAAATCAACAAATCAAAAGCAAGATCTTGATATTTTCTTGGGCTGAGAACATTTGGATCAACCTCCACACAATTCCAATCTGGCACTGAGTGACTATCATTCATTTATGCACTTGAAGAAGCACCTGGCAGGGCCTGCATTTGAATAACAATTTTTTAAATGATAATCCATGTTAGCATTTCAAATGCTTTGGTAAATATTTACTTGCATATCAACCACCTACCTCATTTCCATATAAGAATGGTTCCTCTTTAATGACTACATCTTCAATTCCATAATCAGGTTCCTCCTTGATGGAGATAGCAGAAACTTTGAGGACTGGTGGAGGGCCTATTTTCTCTGAGGCTGGAAAATATGTATATTAATGTACTTGTACTGCAGGGCTATAGAGCAAGCTATCTCACAGTACATACAATGTTCACCAAATTGACAAGTCAATTTAGCTTTAAACAAAATATTATTTTCACTCAGATGAGATAGACTAATAAGGTGGCATGTTCTCACACAACATCACCAATTCTTGAATTGAAACTTCAAAGATTTATATACAGATGAGAATTAAATTAAATAAATTGACATAACCTCAGTTCCTCCTCTGAATATTAACAATTGATTGTGAGGCACATGGCATCTGGCTTACCTTCAGACTTAACTTTGCTGCCACCAGAAGATACTTGACTGAGGCTCTGCTCAGGGCATCTGCCACTCCTGACTGCAGCATCGGAGAGTTGGTGCAGCACAACACTGCATTCTTTGTCTATGAATGCCATCCCCAGATGTGATGTAAATTATTAATCACTGAGGTTTAAGCATTCAATCTTTTAAAGTTGGCAGTAGTTAGTAGCATTTTTTCATGATATATTTGGTCACGTTTAACAAATTCTGCAATTCTCATTGATTTTTGTTGGCTATAGAAATAATTGATAGATCTGCTCACGGAGCACATTTTATGTACATAGGAATTTACTCTTGCAGTTTTTGCCAACAACTTGAATAGTTTTCAGTACCATTTAGTGTTTCATTTTTGTGCAGCATCGTAAGATTGTAAGATGTCATTCAATATGATTTTTGAACTCTCTAATTAGCAGCATTGTACCCTAAAATAATTTGTATTGAGGCTTGAGCACCATCATGATGCAATTCTATAGTTAATATAAATAATATGATATTTTGCAATTTTAACCAATCAATGCTCCTTTCAAGGCCGGTCTACAGAAAACTAGCATCACCTCTCACATGACTTGTGAAAGAAATCCTGTAGCTCCAATGTGACAAATCAGATATATAACATAATTCTTATATTCAATATAAAAAGTTCATTTTTCTACTGCATACCAAGTAAACCAAAGGACGCATCAGCTAAAAACAGCAACAACTGTTCAATTAACACGAAATTTTACTTATTTCCCCATGAAAGTACCTATTGAAGTCAGGTTTCAAGACACTAAAAGCTTGAAAATATTAATAATTCATTATTACTTTGCAATTACATTACGTTATTAATAAATAGTAATAATGCTTAATATTAAAAATGCTCACAACATTTAATGCTGACATCATTGACGAAGTGAACCTATAAGTTCACTTGGTCCAATATGTTTATGATATGCGTGTATTATGTCAGATATGATCACTAGATATGTGTTTATGCTACTAATTTATCATAAAAGTTGTCTCTCCATATACCTATTATTTGTTTACAAGTGAAATTCATCACCTGAAATTAGTATTTTCAAGTAAAACATGAAAGTTTACATCACATGAATTCCCCCATTACATGTATGTAACGAAGTCTATCCGTGAAAGGTTTTTTATGAGTTACAGCCATAACAGAAAATTAACAGCAAATGTAATTACTGTGCTAGAATTATATTGATATTCATTAATAATAAATAATAATTACACAATTTTTTAAATGTTTCAAAAATTGAATCATATTTTAGTCTACAATGACCCACAAAACGTTTTTAAAAAATACTTGCTCAATGACATTTCATAAATCAAATGATTGTGGTAAGATGGCATTGCATGCCATTTTGCCACGTGCGATGTACAGTGCAATGTCTGACAGAAAGCTCCTAGCTCTCTCTTGTTGTCATAAATGGTGGTCTGTGCAGCATTGAAAGATTTTGCAAACTACAAAAGTAAGATATATTTTGCTGCTCAATTCTTTACATTTAATTTAATTTGTGTCATGAGATTCATGTACGTTTTATTGCATACATGATACATGTATGTACATTGTTTTGTATTGCTCAGCCAACTTGGAGAAAATAGTAACTTTGCCATTTTCTGATTCCACTTTGCCATTTTCAGTACTTTGACAACACTTGGACAGTCATACTTCATTCTATTATATAAATGAAATCCTAAAAATAATTAAATTTTATACTATTTAATAGAAGGTAATTTTACATTTAATATAAGAATTATAGGTGACTATTTATCCTTGACCTTATTTAAAATCATTTAAATACCTAACTTGGGCTGGTCAGAAGTCTGGTCTCTGGGTGCCGGAATAACTACCTGCTTCAGACCAAGTGTCTGGTATAGACTACTAGGGGATTAGTAAGGAAAAGTCCTACTTTTTGGAAACATCACTGCTCAGACATCACACAATTTTAGTACGTATGAAATCTTGCTGCTATTTTTGTTGAAGTAATTGCAGTTCACATATAATTTCAGGAAATCTTCAACTTCTGAAGTACAGTACCATGAACCTTCCAAAATATCCTGCAAAATGAGTGAACCCAAAATGTTTTGTCATTGATTGCATAGTTGCAGTTCTGTCAGACTGCATTATAACTGTGTTTATTCTTCAACAAAAATGTAAACAATGCATTATTACATGTTTAGTTGCCAATAAAGTTCAGACAAATGTTCTTGTTGCTGTTTCTAGGGTAAAATAAGAGATTTGGGGTAATGCATGCACAGCCTGCATAGTGGCACACCAGTAATTTTTTAGAATCAGTTCATTTTCAATTTTCTTAATTTATTGATGATTGAAACCAATATCATACCATCAAACAGGGTAATAAGGGACTAGTGGGGTAAATCAGGACAGTCGTCCCACATTTTGTAGAAATGTTGTAGCAGCTAAACTACTCAAAATATTGCAAAACTACAAATAGTGGCATAAAATTCAACATTTTTATTATCTATGTAGTATAAAGCAAAATAAGAAATCATATATTTACTACCTCTAAAAAATCCCAGAAAAAAGTGTGAAAAGTCAGATTTTGGGAAAAGTACCTCTGGTAAGGTCTGTAGCAAAAAAAATATTTGTTGTATTAAAAAATTTTTACTTATATAAAAGTTGCACACAGATGTTGGTGCAAAAATGTGATTGACTGAATTAGTCAAAATTGAACTTGAAGTAGAAACTCTCTGCCTTGCCACTATTTGCACAGTACTTTGCAAATGAGTTAGTGGCTAATAAATGGCTTTTCATGGCCTGGATATGGTATTCACAGCTTAAAGAAATGTACTCATGGCTCGCAAACCCATAAAATCAAGGCACAAAAAATCCAGTCTCTGTTCAGAGAGTAGATGTTTTCCTCACTAGCTGGGGTGTAGTGCAAATCAAGACCAGACACCCTTTGCCTGGACAGATAAGCTAGTGAGGAAAATATCTACTCTCTGAACTGTGACTGGATTTTTTGAGCTTTGGCTTCATGGATTTGCAACCTGTGATTTCATTTCTTTGAGCAGTGAATTCTATATATCGGCCATGATGAGCCATTTATGAGCAGCAAACTATTTGCAAAATCCTGTCACTCCTGTGCATGTTTTACCCCAAATCTCTAATTTTACCCTTGAAACAGCAACAATAACATTTGTCAGCACTGTACAGGCAACTGAACATGTGATAATGAAGTTTGATGTGACCCCAAAAATGCGATTACAATCTCCTTCAAAATATTTTGGGTTGACTTGTTATGAAGGATAATTTGGCAGAAGAGTGGTATCAAGTACTGCAGAACTTGAAAATTTCATGAAATGACAGGTTTGCACACAATAATTTTTTCAATCAAACAAAAATACATTGTTAGGGGCTGCATGTTTTATGCTCATTGCCAGATGAAGTGAAACTTTGTTCAGACTCTGACACGTCAGGTCTGACTTTGAGTGGAGTTGGAGAAGATATCACATGTGTAAAGGGTGTCGTCTTGCTAAAAATTCAAGATACTTGATCATGAGTTTACTGACCCTTATCCAATTGCAGTGATAGCTTGTGAAAGGCTGCCTCTTTGTGTCGTGTTGGGAGCAAACTTTATTCGGTCATATGGTGTGGAACTAGACCTTGCAAACCAAATTATGTTGTTTAATCTAAAAGATGAAACCTTTGTCTGTCCTTTCCATCCTCAAGAAGCATCCTCTGCTCAAGTTCAGCTGTGTTTTGCACATGAAATACATGACTCTTGTGATGCTGACCCAAAGTTGCAATCCTTGATTGTTGGTAATACTGATCAAGCAATGTTGCAGGCAAGTGATTTGACCTTGCGGATTCTGGCTGAGAAGGTTGTGATGAAGGATGATCCAAGGCATTGGCAAGAGCCAATGTTGCAGAGGTTTAGCCAGTTTTCCTCCGTTTAGTGTTCTTGAATGATCTGTTGTGGTGCACAGTTGGTGAAAGATCTGTTCCGGTTGTGATGATTCACTTTTTGGATGAAATTGCATACACTGTTCATGAGCGTATGGCATATATTGGTCAAAATAAACTTGTGCAGATCTTGGCTGCTCAAGCATGGCATCCAGATGTTGAGAGAGTTGCATGTGATGTGTACTCATCCTGTCTCAGATGCCAGATGTTCAAGATTTTGCACCAAACAGTTGCACCTCTATCGCTCAAGTTGAGCACTTCTTGTCCCTTTGATTTGGTTTCTGTTGATTTGATTGAGTTTCCACGGTCATCTAGAGGTTTTGTGGCTGTGTTGATGGTTGTTGATCAGAATTTGAAATGGTTAGTTGCAGTTCCATTGAAGGATAAGAAGGGTCTCACTGTTGCACATGCGTTGGAGTTTAATGTGTTGCCTGTTCTTCCACGTTGTCCTGTCAGACTCCTCTCAGACTACGGTCCCGAGTTTCGTTTTGCTAGTTTCAATGATGTTCTTGTGAAGTTTTCCGTGAAACACACATACTCAACGCCATATTGCCCCACTTCAAATGACGGAATTGAACGTGCAAATCGGACCATGGCTGAAATGCTGAGAGGGTTGGTTACAGATAGTAAGCAATGGGATTTACATCTCCCTCATGCTGTAAAGGTGTATAATAACACGCTGCAACGTGAATTAGGATTGTCACCAGCTGAGTATTTGTTATCTGAAGCACATGACGTGAAATCCAGACCTCTTGTTACCAATGATACCAGGCATGTCTGGAAACCAGGTCACCCTCGTTTTGCACCTTTTATTGTTGATCAGCGAGTGATGCTAAAAGTCCAGCAACCAGGCAATCTCACAGTGAACAAGTTGAAACCAAGGTTTTCGGGCCCTTACCGTGTGGTGAAAGTTCATGACAATGGTGTCACATACGTGGTTGAGAAGCAAGCAGAAGATGGTTCTGTCTTGCAGAAGTCGGTCCACTACTGACAAGTCAAGGCTTTCCATGAACCACCTGCATACCTTTGTGAACATCCATGTTTCCAGAGTATTCCATCTTGTCCTGTTATTCCTGCTGATTATGACTCTGATTCTGATATTATGATTGCTGATCCCATCTTTGTGTTAGGAAATTCGTCAAAACAGTCCGGCTCGGAAGACAAGTCTTCTTGTACTCCTGCCACAGTACCAGTTGTACCAGTTTTGCCAAAAGCACACATTCGGCGTCGGAGTAAACGAGTTTGCAGATGTGTTGCACCTGCAAGTACGCCCAGTGTTGCAAAAAAGCTTGAGTTACTTGCAAAAAGCTTGAGCCAGTTCCAAGTCGTGTTGACGAGAACAC